CAGGAAGGCTCCCAGCCACTCCCAGCCATCTGTGCAGCATGAAGAACCAGCACAAATGAGTCATCTCTACTGCATCCGAGTAAACCACCCAGGGTGAGTTCAACCTCCTATTTCTAGGGAGGCATTTAACGAAGATTGACCTAAATTAAGTAAAAATAGGTCTTGATTGGTGTATGACTAGCCTGCTTATTTTTCTAATTAAAAAAGCCTTTCTTTTGTGCTTAGCAACAATTTGTGATGCTTGGTGGTGGCAAAGTTGTCATTTGTTCCACTTCTTTTCTGCCTCCGTCTCATTCTTTGGGTCTCTGAGCATCTAAGAAAAGGCAATTAGAACTAGAAGGCTGGACTGGTCAAGCTCACTGCCTTTTTTCTGGTGGCTACAGATGCAGGCAGAGGCAGCTATTGTTCAGATAGCTGGTGGGGACCATGCCTGGCCCCCAATATATTAAACCCGATACCCAGAACCTACCTGTGTATGTTATTTTCCCTGGGTAAAGAGATTATAAACGGATTTGAACATGGAGAGGCCATGTCAGCTGATGGAAGTGAATTGCAGATGCAGGGAAAGGCAGACAAGAAGCATGTTTGTGGTCCCAGCATTTGGGAGGCAGAAGCAGGAGGATTGGAATTTCAAGGCTATGCTGGGCTCTACAGCAAGTTCAACTTCAGTCCAAATTGCATGGTAAGACCTGTCTGAAACACCATGGACCCAGAAGGATGAAGCTCAGTGCTACAATACTTGCCCAAAATATGTAAGGCCCTGGATTTGATCTCCCAAAACAAAATCCAAACCAAAAGGAACCAAAACCCCAGCTCTGCCATTAAACAAGAACAAGCTACTTTCTTCTGTACACTGTTACCTCCATCCCAGATCGTTACCTCCCTCCCCGATCTCATCCTCAGCAGATCTGTCATTTTTTATGCCTCTTCTCAAATACTGTTTCTCACAGAAAGCTATTTCTTAAAATGAAACCCAAACACAAACACAAACTTTATTATTATTCTGTGAGTGTGAGCACAGGCATGCATAGAGAAGCAAGAGGACAAATCTCTTCCATCTTTATGTGGGTCTAGGGACTGGGCTTAGATATCAGGCTTGTGCAGCCAGTGCTTTTACCCACTTGGCCATCTCCCCATCTTCCCCAAGGCCCGTTCTGATTCCCGGAGTCACTCCTGGGGGCTTCCATCATATCCTGGAAGCTTTTTCGTTTAGCTTGCTATGGTCTGATGGCCATGCGAAGATACCACTTCACTTGGCTTGTTCATTAGTGAAATCCCAGCGCTAGGAACTAGTTAATGGTTAATAAATGCTATGTGATAGATGAGTAGATGGATTCCTGATAACAGCAGTCACATTTTAGTGATATGCTTGGCACCGTTCTAGCTAGGTACTCAGTGTACATGATTTCTAGTCCTAAAGAAAACCATGCAAGGTTGGTATTTTTGTCCGTATTGTTCATTTGTGGAAATCAAGTATCAGAGACTGTGCCACAGGGCTGGCTCACTATGAAATGCACAGCAGAAGCTTACCTACTACCTATCAGCATCTTTACTAGCCACCTGTATATGAAAGGCCCTTTTCTCTTCCCTGTCCCATCCCAGCTATCTACACTGTTTTCTCATCCACATCAAGGCATCTGATTTGGACACAGAGCAAACTGGTGTTGCCACTCTGTCAAAAAAAAAAAAAATCAGCCTGCATTTTCTCTTTCTATTTGATCACAACTTTTCCACTGAATTCTTCTGGTGCAGGTAGGTCTATTTAATGGCTGGCTTCCCCTCATTCTTCTTGTGCCTGGATGCAGGGCTTATAAGCAGGCGCTGGGGTGAGGCTGAAATATGTGAACAACTTGAGATTTTGATTTCCCTTTTTCAAGGGTGGTGATCCACAGATTTGATAAAACCACAGAAGGCATCTTCTGGACACGCTAGCAAAAGGTCCTTCTCAGGTCCTTCTCTTGTGAATGGTTGTAATAGGGTCACTAAAGCTACCTCAAGAGGAGATGTCATTGATTACTGGAAAACGTAACAATTGTTCTAATCTCATATCTTTCAGGCAAGGGGAAATAGCCTGGGCCACAATTGATAATATAGCCTCTTCTCTTTCTTGCTCAGGTATTCTGGGGTCTGTGGTTCCTATGTGTTATAATGAAGACTATAGTTATTTTTATACACAGAGATAGTTTTACATGTAGAGTGGACAGAGGGCAGGAAGCAATGTCCTGAAACATTGAGTTCTTTCCCTGAGTGGGTTCACATTGTTTTACCTGTGGTTTCCTGAATACTCCTTTGGCAATCTCCTATAAAGGGGTGAACAACTGATTTAGTTCCAAAATTGCTGCCTTATAATAATTTTTTATGATTCACCTAGATACATATATATA